AGGAAACTGATTGGATACTAAGCACACTCAACCTTATTGATGGCTTAACCCATCCATGGTGGGTTATTAGATGGACGAGCAGGGAGGAGGCTTGGCGGAAGTAGGCTCCGCCAGGCATGCCTTCAAGGAGTGTCTGCTCCCTAACCCTCCCTCTCTGGCTCTCTGCTTCCTGGCGGCCGCATGGTGAGCAGCTCTCCTCTGCTAGGACCTTCCAATGTGATGTCTCTGCCTTGGAGCCAGGGAACTGTTGACTGAACCTGTGAACCAGAATCAACCTCTTCAAGCTGATTTATGGTGGCTCTTCGGTTACAGGGATGAAGAAAATGTCTTACATGTATGTATGTTAATATCCACATTATATTAGGCTAGAATCTGGCACTGTTGATTGTCTTTGTGATAAATACATGCTTTACACAGTGTTAAGAATGCCAAATATTATTTCTTCTTTGTCTTTTCTATAATTTTCAGACCAAATTATTGAGTTTTCATGTGACTAATAAAACATTGTTGGCTTCCAAAAGCGAATTTTAGTTATTTTAGTTGTACCTATAACATTTTGATCTAAACCCAAACATGAGTGGTAGATACTCTCTATTCTTGTTTGTTTTTTGTTGTTTGAGAAAGGGTTTTGCTATGTAGTCCCAGCTGGCCTTGACCTGGCTATATATCTCAGGCTGGCCTCAAACTTGGGGGCAAACTTCCTGCCTCAGCCTCCTGAGTACTGGGACTACCCAGCACCATTTGTCTAGATTACATCATGTTTAGCATAATGGAAAATAACTTCCTGGGAGGGAGTGGGACATGGACAGTGCTACCTGGGTCTGTCACTAACACACTGTACGTCAGAGAGGTCATATCCTTTCCTGGTAGCTCAGTTTCCTTACACAGAGGAAGTTTGATCAGAGCTCTGATGCCCTGTCCTTTGCTAAAATTATGGGATTCTTGCTCAGATCCTATCTGGATTTAGAAATCATTAACTTCTGGTATGGATAAAAAATGGTGATTCTAATTGCTATTTATGGATTAAAGGAAAGCTCAGAGTTTTGGAAGACTAATTTAGGACAAGTGCGCTGGAATTCCGCTTCCTTGTGAATGTGCGTAAGGATCAGAGCTTCCTGTGGACGCTGGTGAGCACGGCTTCTCTAGGAACTCTGCTCGCTGATCTGCCAAGATGAGCAGATGGAGGAGAGCTGATGGCAGGGAGGCAAGTGGTGGGCAGCAGGGATACCACCCATTAAGACCTGATGAGAAGCAGTCCTTTGGTTTTAATTAAAAACATAACTTTTAAAATGCCTCATTCATTTTTTGTTTTTGTAGAATCAAAACACAGGAATTTTTCCTAAATGAAAACCAGAAGCAGTTCAAACTTTTTTAAGCCAGCAAGTTAAAAAAAGCAGCCTAGGAAATTGTCCTTTGTAATTCTGCCAGTTTCAATTTTGATTCTTTATGCAACTAGTATCAGGATAATAATATTTGGTTGAAAACAAAGAGAAGAAAGTTCTAAGTAGCTGTTTTGCACACATTTCAGTTGTTTGGCTGATGTGAAGCTTGCTACTAATACTGCAGCTGCTTCGGCAGAGGACAAAAAAGAAAGTCATAATACAATAACGTCAGCATTTTAAATATGAGTAGGCCCTACAAAGTGCCCGTGACAGGATGGATACAGTGGTGCACGCCCATAATCCAAGCTATTCAGGAGGCTGAAGCAGGAGGATAGAGTTTGAAGCCAGCCGGGGCAACTTAGTAAGCCCTCATATCAAAATAAAAAATTAAAAGGGCTGGGGTTGTAGCTCCATGGTATGGTGCTTATCTATCTTGTGCAAGAACCCAGATTCAATCTCTAGTACTACAATAAAAATAAATAAGTAAAGCTGATGACAATTCTAACTATTTTTGACTGCTTCTATTAGGATCACAAACTGAAAGGGGAATGTAGGTCAAATTTGGATAAATAAGATTCTGTTAAATTAAAGGTAGATGAATAGTACTTAGGGGTTTATTATTTGCTACTCAGTTTTATTGAAAAGAACTGGCATTTTTTCTAGCTACACCCTAGGATTTTGTGGAAAGAACCCAACATCTCATGGTTGCAAAGATTATGAAATACTCAGCTTTACCCATGGGTATTTCCTGATGTTTCTTTGGTAAACTGTAGCCTCATAGGGGATATCAGGAGTTAGAGTGAGAAATATTCTAAAAAGCTATTGTCACTACAAAGATGAAAGCAACTTTGATGATCAAAAAGAAGTCAACAAAAAAAGACTGAAAGTAGTTCCTCAATCCTTCCCTATTGTTCATTTGGGATTTCTTAATTTCCCTACTCTCAATATATCATGGAATTTTCTGTGTGAAGTTTTGCCATGGGTTAAAGTGATGTCAAAAAAGTTTTACCTTAAGTCATGTTTTATGGCAAACAGGAGAAGCCCCAGTCCTCGAGGGAACACCACTTCCTGCTTTTAAGAAGCTCTTTTCCTTCTTTTAGTCACAAGTGTCCTCGACAGAGAATGGTGCTCAGCGGAACTTCAGTGACAACGAGACCTATGCTGCTTTGACCTGCACAACACCACACTCCTGTCTAAGGAGATGTTTTCATCTGCAGCCAAGTCTGCTGTGTGTTCATTTCCTTTGGTGCTTGCTTTTCTGCCTGTGGAAGGTCAGGCGGCATTTGCTACTGCACCACGCAGGCATTCAGAACAGTGTTTGCTTTCCTGTCATCCTGAATAAGCTGACTTGCCCTATTATTGCCACAAGTTTGTTTCATTAATGAGACATATAGCTTCAAATTGTCACGAAAGGAGTAAAGGTTTGGAATTCAGATCCACTGGGGTCTGATATCTCTCTACTACTTACTAGCTGTGTGGTCTTGGATGAGTTATGTAACCACTCTAGGTTCAGTACTGACCTTGTATGATTATTGTGAGGATTTAATGAACTAATATGTGTACCATTTCTTGTACAGTGTTGGTCATCTTAGAGGCATTTGATAAAACACAGCTATTAGTTTTTCCACCATAATATTTCTACTTCACTATTATTGACTGTATGATACCAACATTATATTATATATGCATATATATATATGCATATGTCTATGCATCATCTTAGAGGCATTTGATAAAACACAGCTATTAGTTTTTCCACCATAATATTTCTACTTCACTATTATTGACTGTATGATACCAACATTATATTATATACACATATATATATATGCATATATGTCTATGCAAATTATATATATGCATGAGATATATTATACAAGGTATATATTAGAGAGTAGGAAGGAATTATAGAATGTGAAGTTAATTAGTAAGTTTATTTTGTCTCACATCTTTATATAAAAATTAACTCAAAATGGATCATATTCATAAGTGTAAATCATAAAACTATAAAACTTAGAAAAAAGAGGAGAAAATTTAGAACATAGTGTGAAGCAAAAAGTTCTTTGATTTGATTCTAAGAATATGACCCATAAAAGGAAAAACAGACAAACTGAGTTTCATCAAAATTAAAAGCTTTTGGTCTATAAGGCTGTTAAAACAGTCAAAATATAAAGCTATAGAATGGGAACATACTTGTGAACTGCATTAATTCATTAAGTATTAACATTTAGCATCTATCTGGTCTTACTTCTGCTATTTTAGGGTTTTGGGGGATAGAACCAAGGCCTTTGCACTGCACTACACCCTAACCCTTTTAAAATTTTGAGACAGGGCCTCACTAAGTCATTAAACTGCCCAGGTTGAACTCATTGAAATCCTCCTCTCTCAGCCTCCCAGAATGCTGGGATTACAGGAATGCATTACCATACCTGGGAGACTTTTGCCATTTTATATAACCCACCGTGGGGACTTGCTTGTAAACATCTCCAGACATGAAAAAACATCCCCAGACTTTCCTTACTAGCCATATTTCAGTGTTTACTCTTCTAAAAAGTCAAAATGACCTAATCTAATAGTTTTACTATGAGAAAACCAAAATCTAAACATCTGGCAGCTCTGTACATAACAGCTCAGTGGCACTTAGAAGAAGGTTAGTGATGCTATACCCGAGGGCTGAGGAAGAGACATTTGTAAAAGGTTTCATGGAGAAACATGCTCTCTATTGACATACTGTTGACTTTTTATTTTAAGTTGTCAAAAATCACCTCTTGGTATAATTCATTATGACCAGAAGAGTTGAGTAAACATAATCTTATCTTGTGAAAATAGAACATTAACTATTGTTATAGCCATATAATTTTGGTTTATGTTACATTTATTTTATTAACAGAATAGAAAGAAAGGAGAAAAAATTTGAATTGAAAAGAATGATTTATGTCTCTAAGTTAAACAATGCCCATTTATTTTTATTTTTTTCCAATACCGGGAGTCAAACTCAGGACCTTGCACTTTCCAGGCAGGTGTGGCACCGCTGAGTTACATCCCTGGCCTTGGGCATTTATTTTTAAATGATGACATAGCAGACACTGTTGCTATGAGTATAGGCTATACTCCCTATATACATTTCTCCTCCTATTTATTCTAGATTTTCTTCTTAACCCCATCCCCAGAAGGATCTTGATTGGCCTATGTTAGTTTTGGTACTCTAAACATGTGACCTGCCCTGGCCAATGAGATGTGAAAGGAGGTGAGTGTGATGCTTCCAAACAGACTGCTCTTCAGAAGGGGACCTGAGGAACTGGCCATGCCTTTCTGCCTCTGGATAATACAGATCCGGGCAGCATTCCTGGCACTGTGGTAACCATCCTGGAATAGCTTTTAGAACAAAGACAGCACAGGAGGTAGAGAGCCACTAGAATATTCGAGCCAGAGACACTGCCTGCCCTGCCTCCAGACGTCTTGTTCCGTGAGTGATGCGTTCTTTTATTGTTTATGCCAACCATGGCAAGATGTCCTATTATTTGTAGCCAAAGGATCCTCACCGACATAGGGAATACATAACTCCTTGACCTACAGAGGTAAACAAACCAAGAAGCCAAAGAGGAAAGGGGAACATACCTGTTCCTGTGACTCCAATTCTTTGTGTTGTAATTTTTTCTCCATACTTCGCACCTGATTAAAGCGGGTTTCTAGTTCATCTTGTAAAACCTGAAACAGTACAAAAATAAATACAGTAACATTAAAAATTAGCATACTTGAAAAAAATAGTTTTACTGTATGAACTAGCATTAAAAAGGCCTCAGCTCTCCAATCATTACAGTTGTTTCAAAGAGTTCAGGCAAACAAATCTAGGCTTTTGTGAGTTAGACCCAGATGCTTTCTGCCTTAGGAACATCCAATATAAAAAATCCAAACTTATAAAACAGACAAATTAGAAGATATCAATTCATATTATAAATCTTTTCCCAGAGTAGAAAAACAACCATAGCATAAAGCTATTTCTAATTGAAACACTCCTACTAGTACATCTGCAGAATACACTTATACTTTGAAACATGTTGTGACAAATAGGAATTATAATATCTGACCAACATGGTGTTTTTCAAAATTATAAAATTATTAAATTACAGAAAACTTCAAGGCATCTTGTTAAGACAGAGAGGATGGTGTGGAATTTGAAGAATCTGTAAGAAGTGGATAAAAATGAAATATTCCATTATTCTACGTAAAAAGTATTAGAATTAGAAAAGATCAGGATCCACTCAAATAATCCTATGCAATTATGGAAATAATAAATGGAAACAGGGTGAGCAGGACGTATGAGAAGACAGCAGCAATGATGCCAAATAAATTCTCAAAATAAAGTTCATACAGTCAATAATATCGGGTTCCTGTGTCACATCCAGCTTACAGTACGTACTCTATGGATAGCACAAATACATTTCCCACACTCAGGGGAGGGAGGCAATAGGTAAACTGTAAATACAACATAATCAATGGCAAGTGCAGCAAAAAATAGTGAAGGGGAAATTCTGGAGCGGGGACGGGGAGAGTTGCTGAAGTTTTAAACAGAGGCCCGAAGAAGACCCAACTGAGCAAAGCCACAAAAGAGGAAAGAGGGCCACAGGCAGCAGATGCTGTACGTGAGAACACCTTGAGGAACCACAGAGGCTCATATGGTGAGGGAGCAGACAGGGGATAAGTCTGGGACATGGCAGGGCCCAAATCACATCAGGCCACTCAAGAGTGTCACAGTCCGTTAAGGGGTAGAGATCTTACTCCGAGGCACATGGGGATGCTCTTGGAGGGCTGTGAGCAGCTACTGCTTGGGTTGCAGACTGAAGTGAGGCCAGGCAGATGGAGGGAGGCAAGTTAGAGGCAATCCACTGAAATCCGCAGGAAAAGGGGTAATGGAAAATTGGGTGACAGTGGTAGCAGGTAGTGCCGGAACTGTCGGATTCTGAGTGAAGATACAGGGAGTAAATGCAGGGAACGTGAGAAGACAGCCCCGCAGTTTGGTCTGATCTTGAAGACTGCATTTGGCACGTGGCATGATGGGGCAGGTGTTTTGGGAGAAGTGCTGCAGTTCAGCCTGGGATTTAAATTTGAAATGCCTGTTTCATATCCAAGGGGAGGCACTGGGGATAAGAGCCTGGAGTTCAGACAAACTGTCTAAGTCAGTATCCATTAAAAATTCTTTCAATGTGAGGTCAGCCTCTCCTATGTGAATGTACAGAGACAATGGTGGTTAACCTTTTGAGGGGTTCTAGATCTCTAGTGCATCTGATAAAAGCTATGCAGTCACTTCCCAAAAGGGGAAGAAAACATGCTTATATTTTTCCTCTGATTTTCAGGATTTATAGATAACCGGAAGCTCATCCATAGTCAGTCAGACCTCAGGCTAAGAACTTTTAATGTAAAAAGTAAGGTGATTTGAGAATAATCTTAAGTGCTTTCGTGTCTCTTTGATATTTAACCTGATTATAAATCTGCAATTTGACCAGGCCTGAAATGAACTTGAAAAATCTCTTAAATTCTTCATGTGTCTCTAATTCTGTTGTCACGGTCTGTTTCCAATAGATGAGTGCAATTGATCCTGTGCTTGTTGATCAAGTAGCATAAAGGATGCTACCGATAAGTAGGGTTTTATTTATTTATTTTTACCAGTAAGTAGAATTTTAGCTTTTCTGTCATATGATGGGGAGAGTAATGATGACTGTATTGGAGAGACTATTTACGGATTTTTTTCTTTTTTGTTCCTGCTTTTTCTCACCCTCTAATCTGTTCTCCTATGGTTGTCAGGGTGATCTTCCGAAATGTAAATCTAGCCATGTTATTCCCCCACTGAAACCCTTCAGCTACTCTCCAGTATCCCTAAGATGCAGCTCCATCTTCTCAGCAAGGCATACAAGGACCATTGTCACCAGGCATAGCAGAAGCTGTGGTGTGCAGAAGTGGATGTTACTACCAGTAACAGTGGGAGTTGTACTGGATTTTATTTTTAACTCTCATTCCATTTCTGTGCAACAGTAATTATTTCACTTATGTCAGAGAAGAGACCAGTCGGACTCCGTGTGGATATGCAGCTTGCTCACGTCCACGTGGCCAGCAGTAAGGGACTGGACTGGAATTTTAACATATCTCTAACTTCACACCGAACATGTCCGGCTGTTCCATGCTGCCTCTTTCTCACTCTGCACCTAGTTTCTGGTTTTTTTTCTCCACCCCACCTACTCATCTTAACAGTGCCATCCTCTTGACCTGTGCCACAGCTAAGACTCCTCTAGGCTTTTGTCCACCTGGTGTTGAAGAGAATGAATTTGCATGTCTGTGTGAGGATCAGAACAACTGCAGCTCAGGGCTGGCTCCTGTCATCTTGGCGAGCTCAGTGCCATCCAACTCAGTGCCCGATGCACAGGCGTCTCTGCACTCACAGTTGAGGAAGGAACTCATAAATATCTGAACCTCTTCCTCGAGGACACGCACCTTCAATCATCAGGGTTTCTGGCTGTTCTTAACATGGCACGTTTATCTAAATGTTATTATGCATTCTAAAATACAGAACATACAAACTTATTTTCTAAATATCTGTAGCTGTCTCACATACACACATATAACAACAATTATTACTGACAATAATTAATACACTGTCTGGTTTCTGCTACAGACAACGGGAAAAGAAAAAAGAAAAAAAGGAGATGTGTACTTCCTTTGTCTTAAACGAAAAGCTGCTCTCTACCTCTTGGCTGCCTGTCCCCTCCCTCCCCCAGCAGACCCTGCGAGCTTTCCATGTCTTCTCTGCTTCTCCCAGCACTGGGTCACACTCTCCTGAGTTCAGCGTCATCAGAGTCACTTATTACTTCCTAGATGCCCAAACCAGCAGCTAACGTTCCCCTCGTTTTTCAGCAGCATTTGGCTCTCTTCATGTCCTATTGTGCTTTTCTCTTGAATTATAAGGAACTAGCTCTGAGGAGTGAAGTCAAGGGGTTAAGAAATGAGGATGCCGCAAAAGTGAAGCTCAAATATAATAAGGCCTTGAGTGAGGGTACTGGATGTGGACAAGTGCAGATTTGGTAGAATGGGAGCTTAGGGAAAAGAGGGACTCAAAGATACCATGGGGCTTCAACACTGAATGGGTGGAGAACAGAGAGGACAGCACACGACAAGTCAGAAGTGGTGGCGGAAGTATGGCTTTCGCCATGTTGGGTTAAAGGAGCTGGTAGGACTTCCAGCAGAACCTATTTTGATGGTTTGAATCTTTCTATCCCCACATTTATAGGTTGAAATCCTTAACCCCAAGGTGATAATATGAAGAAGTGAGAGCTATTGAAGACAGGGAGCCCTGAGGAATAGCATTAGTGCCCTTAGAAAAGAGGCCTGAGAGATGTCTCTTGCCTCTTCTGATATGTGAGGACACAGTGAAAGACAGCCATTCGTGCATCGGGAATCAGGCCCTCCCAGACATGGAATCTGCCAGTGCCCTGGTCTCAGAAGTCTCCAGAATCACCTGCAGTGACAGCGTGATGTACACAGCTCCCAGACTAGAGTGTTTTGTTATGGTGGCCTGAGCAAAGCTGGGTCCCCAGGTGTTACATGTTACATGTTACGTGGGACGCTTCCTCATGGAAGAAGATGCATGAGGAGAGACCTCTAACCTGCCTTCTGATGCCTACATTTCAGTCTAGGAAGAGAAGGAGGAAACAAAGAAAGCTGCTGAGAATCCAACAGGTGGGAGGCAACTGAAAAGTTGGCATGAGGGAAGTCTAGCTAAAAGTTATTTCCAAAGAGGACAGGGCAACATACTCAGATATGATCTTTTCTCTGTACTCCACATAGTGAGAGACTTTTGAGTCTACCACATTTTATCAATATTATCAAAATAGAATTCAAATTACATTTGCTTTTCAAAAAAAGCCCTTAAAAATGTACTCAGCCAAAAAAATGTAAAATGTGATCTTTTTAAGGTTAATCAGAGAATGCAGTTTTGCCTACAAATTACTTTTATTATCTATTTAAAGATCAGTTTAAAATTGAAAGGTAATCAAATAATATTTCACTTTCAAAAAAGTGTATGACATGAAAGGAAAATGATGGCTTACTATTGGTAGCTCTTCCTGGTTTACATTATAAAATAATTATGTTATCAGAATTCCAACCACAGACTATAACATGAAGATTTTGTAAAAATGATAACTACCTGGTAAGTACAACCTGGGGAACCTTTCTTTTAAGTTATGGCCTCTTTCTTTTTAAAAAAAAACACATAATTTGACATTACCTCCCCACTGCCACACACACACACACGCACACGCACACACGACTGCAACTTTAAAGCATGGACTGTCCAACAGCATATCAGAAATATAAAACAAAGCACAAGTTGAACACTTAAGCCGTTTATTCTGCAAAACGATTCCTCACTTCTTAGCTCTGCTGCGTTTACTTGCACCATTACTGCAAAGACAATTCTCTTCTCTCAGTGGAGTCTGACTTGCGATATCACGTGAGTCCACTTGCTGCACAGCTTCCCTGCTCCTGACTTTCAGAGTGCTTTGGGTTGGCTGGGAAAAAAGAATGATGCTTCCCAGAAGAAAAATGTGAATGACACAATAAACTCTACAAGAACAGCGAGGGCATACCACATTCTTTAAAGGGGAAAAGGTTGTAGGATAATTTGACCTGTTTGTTTAAAATGCAATAGAGAAAAT